ACTGGTAGATGCACAGTGATGATGAGGCCAGTAGTGGTAGCTTATCTCTTTCACATTCATGCGGATCATTAGTTTCGAAAAGAAGAGTACAAATCAAACTTCTTCAAACAGAGCAGAAGCGATGGCAATTCACATGTATAAATCTTGAACTCTGCATATAAAAGAAGCTTGTTCAGTCAGTAAATCTACAATGCACCTGATTTGCAATGAGTAGTGTTTTCTGAGCTAGTTTGTTTAGTTGCGGAGCTTTCGTCGTCCTTATGGATAACATCTTCAGCGCAATTTTTAGCATAAAGTGAATTGATTTAAATTTTTTCCATGAGTGATAGAATTGCGTCTCCCGGTGACCATCTTTACATATGCATTGACTATTTTCTATTGACTTGGATTTTAAACTTTCTGGTCACATGATTTACTTTCTATTAGTTGGTATATTTGGTCTTCATTAACGTGTTTGTTAATTGCATATTCGTTTGAGTACCAGGCTTCTAGGAATTCGCTGGCGCTTTTGGTGTTTCCTCTGTCAAAAATTTCGACATTATCCCAATCAAATTGATGTCCATAATTGTCTATATGCATTGATATGAAAGAATATATCATGTCTTTTCAGAGCTGATTTGTGTTCCTGGATTCTGATTCGAAGGGGACGCCCAATTTGGCCGATGTAATGTCTGTTACAGTTCATGCATGCAATTTATTTTGTAAATGGTAGAAGTTAGAATTCATGAGCCATTGAATCGGGTCCCAGTGGTTGAATGGTATACGAGCTCGCCTTGTAACCGGAAGGTCCTGGGTTCGAATCTCAGTGGGTGCGTACTGCTGGTGATTCCCAAACTAGGATGAAACAGCAGCTGTCCAGTACTCCAACTCTTGTTTTCAATGGTTCTCTAACTGATATCAGTCCACGATCAACTCGTAAAACATAACTAATCCTTTCAAACCAAACTATAGAAAATTGTATTAATTTTATCTCTTTTTTCTGTTGGATCTTTCGGTTTGCCCAATACCGAATTAAGTGATTTAACTGGCTTGTGCGCTTTATCTATATCAAATGGTTTCAATATTCTATCTGTTATTTCAGAAATATTTTTTCTGATATATGGTAGGATGAATTTTCTTGTGGTCTTAGATGATGGTGCCTTGTTGGTGTTGTGATTCAATTTTAAACACCTTTTTGATGAAATTTTGTGGGTAACCATTCTTTTTGAAGACTGTTTGTAGATATTTTTCGTCCATTCTTTTCAACTCTGGAGTGCTACAGTGTGCCTAAATTCTTTTAAACAAAGTCTGCACACAGTTTCTTTTGTGAGTAATTGGATTATTGCTAGTATAGTTGAGTATTTGATCTGTGTGCGGTGACTTTCTATATACTCGTGTTTCTAAATCTCCTGTGTCGGTTCTCCTGATTAAGACATCTAAAAATGGGATTTTGTTATCTAATTCTTCTTCTCTTGTGAATTTGATGTCTTTAAATATGTTGTTTATTAATGTATGGGTATATTCTAAATCATTTCTTTTAATTATTACAAATGTATCACCAACGTAACGTACCCAGATTTTCGGTTTAAATATAGGTGGAGCTATTAATTCTAATCTTTGCATGACGGCTTCAGATATTAATCCTGCTATGGGCGATCCCATTGGTGTTCCTTTTATCTGTTCGTATACATTTGAGTATTGAATTGGAAGTATGTCGTAAGGCATAATGCTATGAGTTCTATCCAAGTTGAACATTGCGTTTTTGTGTTTTCATCACTATAGAGTAATTGTTGCATAGTTTCTGTTGCTAGTTTTGGACTAATTGAAGTATATAATGCTGTGATATCATCAAAGGACACCATTATTTCATTGTCTTCAACTTGAATGTTTTTGATTTTCTCTAAAAGTTGGATTGACGAAATGATAGAATGGTCGCATGATTCTCTTAGGTAATTTAATTTCCTGAAAGGTTCTTTCGATAGATTATATGTTGTTGTTCCTGGAAGCTAAACGATTGGTTGTAAGGGAATGTTTGGTTCTCTGAGCTGGTTGGTTTAGTTCCGGAGTATTCGTCGTCCTTCTGGACAACATCTTTACAAAATAAATTGTATAAACTGTAACAGACATTACATCGGTCAAAGTGGGCGTCCCCTTCGAATCAGAATCCAGGAACACAAATCAGCTCTGAAAAGACATGATATATATTCTTTCTTATCAATGCATGTAGATAATTATGGACATCATTTTGATTGGGATAATGTCGAAATCTTAGACAGAGGAAACACCAAAAGTGCAGTCATGGAATTCCTAGAAGCCTGGTACTCAAACGAATATGTAATTAACAAACAAATCAATAAAGACCGAATATATCTGCTTTATCTTAACATTGGTTACGGAATCTTTGTGGCTTTCATTTGTATTTATTTTCTACCCCCATCTCCTGTTAACTTTCCACCTCATATTACCAATGTTGTGAACGTGACTGTTATTCAATTTTAGCTGAATTCTACTCATCCCCATCAATAATTGTATTACGTCATTGAATTTACTTATTTAATGTTATTTTAGTTTCTGTCTGATTAAAACTTTTTTCGTATTACGTAATTTGTTATCGAAAATTAATTTACAATTGAAATAATTCATCTTTGGAAATACCCCTTTTGTTGTTACAGGAAATGTACTATATGTACATGCAACTGTACAGCTTAAGAATGATGTCTAATTTGTGGATGGTGACTAATATTTCGTCCCATTTGGGACTCGTCAACTGGATGTACTGGGTGTACATGGAAACAAAATAGCATACGGAATTGCGCAAGAGTTTTAAGTAGGTAGAAAAATAAGCATACAAGCAAAAGTTAAGTCAAATCAACAGAGTTCTGGTTATTCTAACTGAATGGGTAGGGCTTCTGCAGTGAAAAGACGGAAACGTATTGTCTTTGGCTGGTTGTTCTTCACTTTGTAGATTACTTTGAAGGATGAGGCATTTGTTGAGATGGAGTGACCAGTGGTGACGAGATGTTCTATTATTGCACTCCTTATACGGCCACTACTTCCTTTCTGCAACCACGCTGGATAGTTTTCTTTGACCCTTTTTGACAGGATGCTCATCGAACGACCGATGCACCTGGCTCCACAGCAATAGGTGAACTGATATATACACATAGATGTGGTCAGGTGCAGAATCTTATCCTTTAGGCTTCTGCAGATCAGTGGGCGATTGGAGAACTCTACTCTCAATGTTACCGCAAAGAAAGTTCTTCTTAAAGAGGTGAAAATTCTCCTCCTAAGGACATCACTGAATAGGTCACCTTTGAATTCGAGGTTCATATAAAGTATGTTTTTTGGCACGGATGGCATCTCTTGCTTTTGGATTTTCTGTTTGATGTTTTTGTCTATCAATCTTGGTGGATAACCGTTTTGTATGAAGAATTCTTTTAGGAAGTGTAGTCCTTCTTCCAGGGTATCAGAGCTGCAGATGCGTGGGACGCGAGTAGCAAGAGATCTAATCAGGTTCCGTTTTCGACTGATTGATATCCAGCTGTAGAAGCTTGTCAATTGGCCGTTCCATGTAGGTTTCCTATGGATGAACTATCTTAAAGTTCCATCAGCTCTCCTTGTAAGTTCAAGAGTGAACTTTATAAAGCTGAATGGCATTTGTTGAATATTTGTAGTAACTGATTAAGATCGTGACCATTATCACAGATGATAATAAAGATGTCGTCCGTATATCTAGCATACAATTAAAAAATTATCAATAGTGTTGATTTGAGTGTTTGTTATTATTATTATTGTTTCCTTTAATTCCTAGAGGAACATAGGGCTTCAGCCGTGCGTCTCCATTGCGTTCGGTTCTCTGCTAGAGTCTTCACCTGGCTCCATGTCTGCCCACACGTTTTCATCTCCTCTTCACATGACCTCCTCCAAGTCACTCTTGCACTGACGACCAACCCGCCACTTCCTTTTCGGGTTCCACCCGAGCAATGGCTTGTCTAGTGATGTCACTCACTTGATGGTTTCCTGAGTGTATGGCCAATCCATCTCCCTCTCTTCCTGCCTATTTGTTTCACAATCGGTTCCTGGTTGGTTCGCTCATTGCCAGAGATCTCTGTTGCTGATCTTTTCTCGCTGGCCATCTGATCTTGAGTATTGAGCGAAGACAACTGTCAATGAAGGTCTGTAGTTTGTTTGAGATGCTCTTTATGACGCGCAGTGCAAGTCTCTGATCCGTATAGTATCACTGACCTCACATTGGAGTTGAAAATCCGGATCTCATTTTTGACGCTGAATGCTGTTGACCTCCACACAGACTTGAGAGTAGTGAAAGCTTGTCTTCCTTTTCCGATCGTTGCTTTGATATCCTCGTCAGTTCCGCCTGTATTTGAAACGATGCTTCCCATGTAGGTAAAAGAGGTTGTTTCCTTCAGGTTCCTCCCATTTATGCTGATTGTTGTCAGTTGTTGTTGTTGCTGTCAGTGGTGTTGCCCAGGAGTCTTCATCACTTCTATTTTGTCTATGTTCACCTGAAGTCCTATCTTCTCTGGATGCTTCTTCTGCCAACTTGTTACTTTTCGCTTGCATATCTTCCAGTTTGTGGGAAATCAGACATATATCATCGGTGAAGTCCAGATCCTCCAAGTATTTTGTGTGAGTCCATTTTATGTCTGTTTCCTCACTGCCCGCTGTTTGTCGCATTATCCAGTGTTTGTTAATTGATAGGAAACACTCAGTTGATTCTGTTTCACGTGATTTTCATACATGTTTACTGATCGATCGATATTTCATATTATTATTCTAAATAAAGACCAGCTGGACTAGTTTAAATATTCTTATTATTTGCTGAACAGCAGAAGCTGCAGGAGTAGTCTTTGTAGATGTATGTAATTCTCTCCAAATGATGTTGAATAAGCTGAAAAGGCCTCCCGCTGCCTCCGTTTTCTGGCCAACATTTATAAAAGAGGATTGAATATATGTATTTGAATTTCAATAAGTTATAATATAGATAAATAAATGAGATGAAAATGATGGAGGAATCATTCAGCAGTACTAGTGTAGCAAATTCCACTTCAGCGTCCATATCAACACCAGTGAAATACAGCACTTATAATCGACATTTCGACAGTAGTGGTGGTGCAGGGTCAGGGCAACAACAATTAGTATGGTATGCAAATATACGCAAACCTTTCCTGTTGAACGACTATCCACAAGTGACATTGATTGAGAAAATGAAATCTCGAAAATGTCTGAACCCATTGGCAGCGGCATCGACAAGTGGTGGTGCCGGTGCCGGTGGTACAACAATTCATGAGAAAATTAAAGAATACGAACAAATTCTACCGAATCCAACAAACGATATGCTTGAAACAGCTTCAACGCTGATGACTAATAAACCGACGGCTGGTTTGTTTACAAGCTATCATCATCACTATCATCATCATGGAAGAATTAATCAGGCGGCGAATAGTAAGGGATTTTTGAAAACTATTCCAAAGGTTAAAAAGTCAAAACAAGAATTAACGCATAGTGTAAATTTTGAAAAGTGTATTAAATCACTGTTAACCGGGCATATATCATCATCGTCGTCAACCTCAGGAGCAGCAGCAGCAGGATTCCATTTCGATGGTAAATTACATCAAACTCAAAAATTCTCAATTCATCATTCCGGGTCATCAAGAAAAGACACAGAAGCTGATCATATCGGCCTGTCTTATTCGTCATTGAGTATACCGTCGAGTTTTTGGTTAACAACAACAACAGACAGTGACCGGACGGAGACTTTTGGATCGACTGCTGAAGCGTCTAGTCATCATCATTATCATGAGAAAAAGCCAACTGGTGGAGTATCATCCGACGGTGGTGGTAGAATCCAGGGTAGAAATATTCTTCTGACGAATAGAATTATCCCACCGCCATTACCTCCGGGTTTCAGTAGTCGTCGTAGTACAAGCGGTTCATTGCGTGTTACATATCCTAAAGAATTGGCGGCGAATCAATTCCCACAAATTGATGAAACTGAAGAGAAAGTGAAAGTCTACAGATTGAGAGGTTATTCACAACCTTACGTACCTGATATACGCTGCTGTCTACCAGGGATTGATGTATTAAAAGTGAAAATAAGAGATTATGATTTAAAGTTGGATGCAAAAGTGGACAATTTAGCCAGATATCGTCATGCCTATAAAATTGGTATATTAAATGATAAAAAGTTGAAGAACTTTTTTACAATTAAACGACCTGATACCCTGCCTGACTCCCTCCAGCGTCTTGTTCGATTAGGCTCATTAAGTCAGCTAGGCGCACCACGAGAAAAAGAGAAAAATGAACTGGAAGCAATGGAAAGAGAACGAAAGTATTGTCAAATTGTCGTGAAGAGAATTGACACTGCTCTAGATGATGTTAAAGAGTTATGGTTAGAGTCGAGGTATATTATCCACGATCTGTTTTATTATTGGTTAAGTGAAGGCAAACCGAATGAGGCGTATTCACATCTGTCGGTGACAGAAGCTGAAGATCAGATTAGACATTATACAAAATTGTTAAAATCCTCAGGTTTATATCCAACTTCGAGTATTCGACATCAGTGGTTATGTTTACTGTCAACATTTATACATCATGACCATTTGTTAAACACACTGATGACAACAATTGATATCTGGTTGAATGGTCTCCTCGAAGGCCTGTTCAATCCAGAGAGAACTGTACGCGAAGAGACATGTTATCTATTGGCTTACTTATTCATTGAAAGTAGACTGACACATTTATTGGTCAATTATACCTCGATCGATATCTGCTATGATGTTACCCTGACAGTATTACGCGCCATTGAAGTCTATCCAGTGACATTTATACACTATTACATTCTGTTAACCTTAATGATTGAAGGTTGTCCAGTGTTAAGCATACTACAGGCTATTCTTGACAAATGTCCATATACAAAGTGTATCTTGTTACAACATTATTGGCCAAGGCTAATTTATTATATCTTGAAATTTTGGCCATTGAAACAATTCTCAAATGATCGGTTGGAATTATTTGAAATCAATGAATCATTGGACAAAGGTTATCTGAATCCAATATCGAAAATCAATTCGAAGTTGGCGCAAAGTGAATTAGGCAAGCGATTTCTGTTTATCACAAAACCAATGACTGTCTGGTTGCCACAATGGTTAAGACCAGATGGTTGAAGAATAAATTGACTGATTGTTCACGGTCATCATAATAAATAAATAAATAAAAATAGTAATAATGATAATAATAACATCTTTATTCTGGACAGTATTTATAAAATGTACAGAACTGTCAGAGGAGTTTATTGCAGGATAGTTTCCCTTCGTCACAATATCTTCAAGTAGAATAGTAATTGTCAACTGTATATCCCATTTATAATATTAGAACAAGACATATAAGCGAACAATATTGTTTTCAATTAGATCTTCTTCAGGCTTTACTCTTATTTACATAGACTTATATATAAAAATTTTTAACCAATGACGGTGATTTTGTGGATCAAATAATAATAGTAATAATAATAATAATGTGGTAAATGTTTTGAACGAAATTAATAACGATGATTATAATGATAACAAAGTAGTGATAATAAGGTTTATGCAGCTGGCGATACGAATAACAAAGGTAGTAGTATGTGTATATGTAGACAATTCAATAAATAAATAAATTAGGTCAAATCTTAAAAGGTGAAATGGAACAATAATCAGAGTTTAAATAAATATTATAAAAGTACGAAGGAGATGGAAGATAAGAAAGGGTGGGAGGGTTTTGAATAGAATTCACCTAGGCTAAGCAAGGGAGAGACAAAGGTAGAACAAACTTCTTTTGTATGCAAAGACATTTGGATTGTTCTCTTGAATTAATTCCCATAGCTTCAGCTATGTGTAAAAGACGGGTTCGAATTCCGTTCGAAAGGCTCGATGGAATGCGATAGATTACTTTGAAGGCACTATTTTTGTCCACTTGGTGTCCGCTATCAATCAAATGAGCCAAAATAGAACTTCGTATGGATTTTATTTGACCTTTTCCGAACCATGAAGGAAGATGCTCATTAATGCGTTTGTTAAGCTGTCTAGTTGTTCGCCCTACATAACTTTCTCCACAGGAGCAACTAAATTTATAAATACACATCGAAGTGGCACAACTAGGTAGCTTATCTTTCACTTGAGCACTCAAAATTGGTCGGCTGATAAATGAAAAAAAAGGGATGCCGGTAGTATAAGTCCGTTTATCGCTCTCGATAATCTCAGATGTAAGACTTCACTAGCCACGTCCCCATTAAATTGCAGTTTCATGAACAGTTGTTTCTTTTTAATTGTTGCCAGTTTCTCTTTATTGTACCTGGTATTCATGTGTCTCCTTATAAATCTACTAGGATAACGAATTTGGAACAGTGTATTTTGGATGTATCCTAGCTCATTTTCTAGGGAGTCATCTGTACAGATACCTCTTGGTCTATTCGTGAGGCATCTGACGAAATTGATTTTGTATCAGATTGGTACAAAACTGAGGAAATGTGTATATTGTCCTACAGATGTAGGTTTTCTATAGACAGCTCTCTTGAGTGAACCATCCTCTCTTCTGCTCAATTGGACGTCAAGGAAATGTAGTCTACCATCATGTTCTTCTTCACAAGTGAAGATGAGCGATAGATGTGCATCATTAAACTTTTTTAACACTTCATTCTTGTCAGCTTTCACATCAGGAATAGTAAACGTATCATCAACATAACGAAAATAAGAATCGGTTTTCTCTATTACTTGTCTCAATGGACCATTTTCAATCTTGGCAAGAAAGAAATTTGCCAAAATTTGCCTCAATGGAGAACATATGGCAATACCGTCGATTTGCCTGTAGTAAAGGTTGTTGAATAAGAAATGTACATTCATAGTACATTTTAAAAGCAACTCTTTCAGACTGATAACTGGAATATCGGTGTCGATCTGTTTTTCTAGTATCCACTCCATGGTAGGTGGAGTGGCAAAGTGGCTAGGTGAACTCCTCCTCCAACCGTTACACAAGATGGTAGTAAATCATAGTGTTAATGATGTTTTTGAATTCATTGCTAACGTGGATAACATCAATGTAAATGGGAAGCAAATGCTATCCTTAGATGTAGCATCACTGTTTACAGTCGGCCCATTCGTCAAGTTTAGTAGGAACTTGAGAATCAGCTGCTTGTAAACATTTTAAATACACACACAAGAATAGATAATACCACTAGAGGGGTCAAATCATAATCGATTGGAACAAACCGAAGCAGAGAAAATATATGCATTAGAGAGAGATGGAAGATTTTTCGGTAGGTCTCATCTTCAATGACGAAGGCGATGGTTGAGAGCTCAAAGTACTTGTAAAACAAACATGCTCGAAGAACACCGAACTGCATGGAAGGAATATCATTCTCATTGATTACTTCTGAATAAAATAAATAAATAAACTCGATATAGAACAGTGAGTGATAGAGTATTAATAGGTGAATTCAATTCAGAGCACAATTTATCACTCATAATTACTCATGAATGTATTCTTTACACTTCCTAATTAATGATTTACACCAGTCTAACGGAACTATCTCTGATTTTTAGACATTGTCAAAAATCTTAGTTCACACAGATAACAGCAGTTCATCACCAACTTCCTCAAACACTTCTGAAGTCATCCCATCAAGTTCAAATTATATCCTCCTCGTTTTAGATTAGACACAGCCGTTGTAAGCTAACAGTTATGGACTGAAAACCGCCGAGATCTACATCTCATTCAGCTGGGTGTTGAATTGCATTTTGGAATAAATTGACCTATCGGCATTAGCTCAGGTCAGTTAAATTGTTCCTCAAAGTGTGCCATCCAACGTTGTTTTCGCATCTGCTGAAGACTGACTCCCTTCAGTCGTATTGCTGACCATTTGTCTTTTACAACCCGTTTCTCTAATACTCTTAAACAGTTGTCTGACGATACCACTCTCACCGCAGACGCCTTTTCCATATCTTTCACTTTCGTTGCCCGCGCACCTACCACTGTTCACAGTGGTTGTGGAGACTTTTGGTCAGGCTGTGTTTGAGAAGCTTCAGCTACTCATTATATTAGGAGGCGACTGGGATAAGTCAGTCTCTTGGCTTGTATTTGTCAGTTGGGATGAAGGAGTAGAAATTCACTGGTATTTTTCTAAGCTTTGGTTATTGCTTGTTATCAGCCTTTACAAGTGTTTCTACAGGTGTTTGGATATTATGAAAGGAATTTCCTCAAGATGGGTGTTGCTGTCGATTTCAGGTACGCGTTTAGCTATTTCTTCCTCCTCTAAATAGAGATTTTGTGTCTTCAACAGGTTGGTGGCGTAGTGGCTAAATTACTGCCTGTTTCTGAGCGTTGCTGATAAATTGTAGGAAAATACGTGCACTGACCAAACCCTGACATCTACTCAGGCGTTCTGTGACACCCGATGGACGTGTGATCTGCTTCAGATGACGGATGATTCGATGATGGAGGTTGTCAGGCTCAGCAATGTCTGTGGTAATGTTTGAATTTGGCACTTACGAGATATAGATGATTATCCGAAGAGAACAACTGTAGTTGACGATGTTGGCTGATGTCGGTTGGTTCGAATGAGACTGTACAGGTGCCGCCAATATACTTCTGTGACGAGCACTGGTGTCTTGCTTGAGCACAGAAGTAGTCACCTGATAAAACGACTACATCTGGACGTTTTGATTTTAACAGCAAGCGAGACGACTTTTGATGATAAAACTCATCGTTTACTTTGTTTGAACTGCAATCGGTTGAGCGGGAAGTGTAAGCAGAGATTATCAAAAGGCTTCAGTGGGTATCAGAAGGACAGAGCACGTACCACTATCCGCCGGTAGTTGGGATTTTTCTGTTCTAACACCGAATGCTATGCTGCTTACACTTACACTTACAAGTTGTCGCGAACTAACCGAAGAGTCAACTGTGACACTCACTCGTAAGGTGGATTTCGCCGACTCATTATTTCAATCTGGTGGGGGTAAGTGGTGAATAACCACACTCGGGTCTTGCATGTGTTTGTCTACAAAACACAACATACATTGATGACCCGTGGTGCCATCATGGTCGTGTTCTGGTTAGTAGTAAAGCGTGTATTCCTATTTGAAAGAAAAGGTTTTAGACGATAAATGCTGTAATATGATGTTTGCAGAGTGTGGTTTTATGAAAATATGAATAGTATATCCCACAGTGTGGCTGCTAATAAATAAAGAAGGTTGGAGAGCTAGGGGGAGGTGAAGTGAATATTTGTGGTATGGTATCAAGAGTGGAAGGAAAGCAAGAAGGTGAAGGTGGGTGAGTGTGAGTGATGATCAGGAAAGCTTTGTTTGCTAATAGGGATGTGTGAGTGGTTATTACTATTCTGTTGGCCTTATGGAAGAAGTTGGTGTACTTGAGACAGAAGAAGCAATAAGTGCTGCATGACTAAGTTGTCCAAAGTACAACTGCTTGAGTACTGTTTCAAAACTCCTGTTTGAATTTGTTTCTGTAGTTCCATCCGTAATAAGGTGTTACCGCCGGTACAAGGTTAGTCGGGTAGTATTGTCCTCAGAATCGACATTTAAGTTCCTTCCTACCGCATATCGAACAGACTGTATAACAAGTGGCTTGCTGGTCCTATGAAAGAGACATCATAATCCTGTTGCATCCTTACTCACAAGCAGTAGGATTTCGCTCATAGACTTCCAATATAGTGTAAAGCGTTCATGAACGTCAACGACAAATGCTTGTAGTCTATCAGCAATCTAAATGACCCACTTGACATGCTACTACCGGTAGGAACATCTGTCCCAGGCAGTGTAGCTCTTTGAATGTGTCCTGAACGATAATACAACCTAACAGACTATTCAAAATAACAGCATCCAACCCCACAACAGCAACAACAACATCGCCGCACGCTAAACAAGACAGAAGATGAACCGTTGGTGAGAGCTTTCACTGATAAGTTTCAACTACAGGCAGTCGGAACGGATGAAGATGTTAAAGTTAGCCAGAATCGGAAAGACAAGATACGCCTTCATCAGATTGAAACCAGTTTGGAAATCTGCTGCTGCATTCCCCCTCATGTTAAGTCAGTCAGCCAGTTCTTCTATATGGGTCAGAAACTTGCAGTGCGCTTGCATCATGGAAAGCATTTTCAACACGTCTCAGACTTTTA